GAGGAAATCTTCACATTCAGAGGAAAGCTGTTTCCTAACTAATATTAATACCTGTGAAATTCATAGCCACTTGGGAACTCATTGCCTTACATTAATGAATAATTTCCCTTAGTGCTAGTTGGGCAGCATGTATAGCTAATAACATATAGACACACACACACAGACACACTATTTTATAGGCAATTAATGCCAAATAAAAATACACATGTACTTGCTCATGTTGGCACATCATGTAATGCACAATGTTGGAACAAAAAGTTAAACGTGGCACCAATTCACAGTAACCATTACCACAAGCTAGATATGCAAAGAACTTGCAAAACAATTACAAAATAATTAATCTCTAAATAGTTCAAGAACATGAGTACTTAATTAACTTGCACATAGTTGCCACAGTTAATAGAATTGTGAGATAAAATTAAAGACACATATGGAACCTGTAATAGAACTGTATTCTAGACAATGTTAAGAAAAAATACCTTAATATCCATAGAAAACAAGTAACTTGTTGCTAAATACATAGAGGTCTCAATTTTCTAATATGATGTGCAGTTTTGTATTACGTATTAAGCACTTTTTTATTTTACTGAACAGTAATGAAAAGAAATGAAGTTTATTTCATTATTTGTTTTTCACTAGGCAGTAAGCAATTTAAAAAAATCTACACAAAAGTATTTTTATAGCAGGCTATTCCTCAAAATATGTATTTATTCTCCTAAGTAACTAAGATGTCTAAATGAATTTAGTTGTTTATATTTAGGCAATCCAAACTAAACTTTTAGCCTCAGGTCTTTTTCCAATGAGAAGTTCTAATGTGAGCTGGTCTATAGAAATCAATGTGTTTGATCACATGAATAAACATTCCTTATGTGACTAAACATATGCATGGTATGATACATAATGTGTAGTAAATGCATGAGTGTCATTTTATTTCAGACCTAACAGTGTCTTGTTAGAGTGAATTGGTCCTTAAAGAACACTACAAACTATTAAGTCACAAGTCAACTTGTTATTCCAATTAGAAGTAAATACATGGCCTAACGAGAAACCATATGTCATTCTGTAGCACAAATATTTCACAAAATGTCTTCATATATTTGATCTAAAAATATCATCTATTTATTAATATGTCAATATTTCAACCTTTCAAGTAACTCATAAAATCAAAACACATTTTTAATTTTCTACATGCACAGTCTGAAAAAAGGAACGACACATCATTGTTCTCTCCAGAAACCTTTGGCAGTTCAAAATTTAACAGTTTAAACATTCTTGAAGAAATTTAATGATGAAATAACTTTTTGCATAGAAAAAGGGCCAATACATTTCTGTATATACTGTCAGTGATTGCATTACAGCACTCTATATATATAGACTTTGACAGTAATTTTCGATTAGTACAGTATCTTAGTTCTGCAACATTATTGCTATTGCATCAAATTAGATAATCATAGGGAACATGAATGTTAATTACTTATTCTACAGAAGTGTAGGATTACTATAAAATCATAGCAGTATATTTAATTTTGAAATGTAATCAGATTGTCAATGGTAATGGTTTCTGCCCTAAATTTGTTCAGAGGTATGAAATTCTGCTCTCAGTTATACCACCAGTTATACCATCCCATTCTGGTGATTTCAGTCGGGTTTCATGCACAGAACTGGGGTAGAACGTATCATGGTATTTATCCCATTAAAATTCTCCAAGACTTTGTGTATGCTAAGATTTTAAAATTAATTTTATTTAAAGGATTGAAGCACAAATGCCTAAGCTTTGTGTGGTTTCCCTCTGCAATATGGAATAGGAAACTCAGTTACATATAATTCTGCAAGCCTTTCAAGAAATACACAGCTTTCTGTATTGGAATGTCTTTACAGACAGGCAAAGTTAGTTAGAAGTTGTAATTGTCACTTGTTCTTCATTTTTATGCAAAAATCTCATTCGTACTAATTTAGGCTCCTGTCTAATCTCCGACAGGTTTTTCACTTAATGTGTACAATGTTTGATAAAATAGTATTTTGCTTGTGCATCACCACAAGTATCCCTGAAATAGACACATATTGGAGGAGGGACAATAAAATTAGTACCTTGAAACTAAAACTGATTTGTTTTTGGAAAAAAGAAAGAATGCACACTTTTAAAATTAATTTGATAGATTTATTAATTTTGGTTTGGTTTGGTTTCTTTTCTTTTTCTTTTCCTGTAAAATGCTGGGAAAGTTTCAAATTTTTAAAAAAGTTAGATAAATTTTTGTAGGAAGTCGCTATTAAATACAATAGTTCAGAGGCAGCACCTGTCTCAAATAAGACCTACATTATTGATTTCCAAGAGGCTGAGAGGTTATGTCAGGAGAAGAATCATTGGACGTATGCACTCTTTTTGGAAGCATCTGCCACTTGTCAGATGTTGGAGATAAGTCTCAAAGACCTTAGTCTGACCAATTATAGCTGTTATTGCTTTTCAAAAAAATGGTGAAATGAAATGAATTTTCTCTTTCCAATTGCTCCCCCCCATAGCTTAAAAGGAGAATATAACTGAGTTTTCCAACTAATTGAAATTTAAAATTTGTGAACTGAAAAAAACTTTTTAAATTTCTGTTAACACACATGAAATATAGTTCAATTTTTTTCCCAAAAAATGTTTTCACAAATCTCCATTTTCAAAAATAATTCACTGACCTCTCATTCGATACAAAACATGTTTAAAGACATATAAAAAGGCTTTAATCTGGAAAAAAAAAGCAAATATTTTATTTTGCATCTCTAGATTTGAACATGCTTAAAATGAAAGAAAGTTCAACTGTCTCTTGATTTGCAACAAACCCAGGCTTGATGTGTAAGTCTGGGGAATATGGATACTACAATGAAAATAAAATTGTTGTAGATTTTTTAAATTTGAAATTAAATTAAGAACAACTAACGTGAACTCTTTAGATTTAGGCTGGTATAACTGGGGGCAGAGTTTGCTTCTCGATTCTTCTTGTTCTGTGGAGCTGTTTTAGTTTCATTACAGAGATAATGAGATTTACAGGACTAGTGATATTTAAGGATAAATTCAAGCTTAAAGTACTGTATATTTCTGATGTATCATACTGATGACAAATTCTTGCAAAGTAATAAATAACAAGTGAAGGTTCAGAGATCCTAAACAGTGAAAATATAGGTAAGAAAAATATAATTTCATACAAGTAAAGAAAATTAGGACCAAATACACATTCTGATTAACTGAAATACAGGTTTTGCTAATTAAGCAGGAGTAGCCTGAAGGTATGAGGTGAGTTTGGCTATTTTGTTAGAGAAGCGTAGAACCTGACAAAGCAGTAATAATAAGTAACTGTGACAGTTCTTTTGAATCCCAAAGGAAATGCAAATGTCAAGTTTTAGAGATAAATTCATTTTTAAGTATAAGAATAATAATTTTATTTCTCAAAAATTCAGCCATATCCCAGAGACACTTGTAAAAGTAAGACTTTTATATAAAAATAGAAGATTGAATTTGCACAAGAAGATACTAAGAATTTGAGAAAGACTCTGGGAAATTCATATATAATAACTGAAACTCCAGTGTAGAAACATACAGAACATGAGTATTGTGATGCTTCCCTGTTGTACCAACATATTGGAAGTTTCACAGTGAAAATGGATTTTTATTGTTGTAGATTTCTCAGCTTTTTTTTTTAAAGTGTTTTCTGATATTTTGAAATCATTCTAAAATCAAAAAATAGTTGCTTGCACACATATCTGCAAATCTTTCTACATATGTATAACACTGTTGAATTTTCATTATATGACATATGGAAATAAAAAGATGCCAAAGGTCTAAAATCCTATGTGAGACTTTGAAAAAAAGGACCCTGTTAGTACAACACCATTTGCTTACAAGATGGACAATAACACCATAATTGAAACTGGTTTTGCATATTCAAATCATGGAGTAGTGTATAACCACAAATAAATATACTGTACATGTGCAATACATCATTACAAATTATTTTTTTTCAAAACCTGATTATTTCCTAAGTTATTAACTCTGTTAGTCTATATTCTGAACTCACTAACCCAGAAGTGTGGTTTTAATAAAAGAAACACTGCCCAGAAAATGTTGTATTAATAAATAGCACTCTGACAAATATGCTTTAAGTCAAAGAAATATCTGGAAAGCATAGAATCATTGAATAGTTTGGGTTGGAAGGGACCTTAAAGATCATCTAGTTCCAACCCCCCTGCCACGGACAGGGACACCCTCCACTAGACCACATTGCCCAAAGCCTCATCCAACCTGGCCTTGAACACTTCCAGGGATGGGGCATCCACAACCTCTCTGGGCAACCTGTTCCAGTCCCTCACCACTCTAACAGTAAAGAATTTATTTCTAACATCTCATCTAAATCGACCCTCCTTCAGCTTAAACCCATTACCCCTTGTCCTGTCACTACACTCCCTGATAAACAGTCCCTCACCAGCTTTCCTGTAGGCCCCTTCAGGTACTGGTAAGCTGCAATGAGATCTCCCCAGAGCCGCCTTTTCTCCAGGCTGAACAATCGCAACTTTCTCAGCCTGTCCTCATAGGAGAGGTGCTCCAGCTCCTCTGATCAGCTTTGTGGCCCTCCTCTGGACTCTCTCCAACAGCTCAATGTCTCTCCTGTACTGGGGCCCCCAGAGGTGGACACAGCACTCCGGGTGGGGGTCTCACAAGAGCGGAGTAGAGGGGCAGGATCACCTCCCTCGACCTGCTGGTCGAGCATGGTTATAATAAAATACTGTTGTGCAAAGGAGCATTAAAATTTTTTTATTTCATAATCACCTGCCCTCTGTAACTCAAAACAAAAATATATTTGTAGTTATCTGAAGTAGTTGTCTACTAGTTATAAATTTCTCATAGTTTGGTCGAGAGCTTGTACTATATGCCAAGCAAGTCCACAGTGACTTAACTCAAACTTTAACTAAACTCCTAAAAATACGAGTTTATGACAAAAAACCCCAAACAAACATCTACAACAGTGCTAACAAATACTAGTCTATGATCACATCACAGTTATCCTTTCTGGGGAGAGGTGTGGAACAGACCCACTTGCTTCTTCTATAACATGGCTTTTCTCCCATCCTCTTCGAATTCTCCTCAGTTTCCTACTTACACATGGCAAAAGTAAAATGATTTTACCTAGAATTACAATGGAAGGCAAAACAAGGGCAAGAACAAAATTTGGTGGTGTATAAAATCTGTAATACTCTTCTTCAAAAGCTCTTTTCCATCCATAGATCAGTACATGGAAAGTACTTATGAGCAGAGCAACGTATCCAAGTGTAGACTGTGAAAAAAGAGAAAACAGCAAAAAAAAGAAGAGATAATAATACTTGGTCCTTCATCCAACAGCTCTAACGCATTATTTTAACATTTTTATTAGACATCATGTTAAAATCTCTTACCTATACACTATTTTAAATTAGCAATATATGGTTTTAGGTTCACATGTTCTGAAAACTACGGACTGAACTGCACACTGATTTATAACATATCTCTGCTAGCATCTATAGGTCTTAGTCAAAGCTGAAATGAAGATGATGTTTGCCTAGATTCTAAGTAATGGAAGTCAACTTTAAGACATGCATGCAAATAAGGAACAATCCCAGTGAAGTTACTGGAACAACATCAGTTGTGATTGGAAATCAAGTTCCTAACTATGAAGGTAGATCACTTCCAAGATTCACGATCATGGAACAATGCAATTCTGCTGGAAGGGATTTGGGCCTAACTCTCCAGATGTTTATCACTCTCAGAGGTGTGGTTTGCTTCTTCCTCACAATAACCTACATCCACTTGTCTGAAGTTAGCATAAACCATCCATAACCTTTCTCCATCAGCTGTTGCCTACTGGTTAAAGGGAATATCTGGTCTGCAGGACTTGGGCATAATGGCACAAAGCAACGATGCAATTTATCATAAACAGGTAGTGCTGGATGAAACGTGAAGTAGAAGGTTCCCACAGCACCCTGCAGAGAACCTCTTACCATGTACTGTAGAGCATGCCACAGAAGGTAGTGCTAATAGGGGTCATTCACCATCTGAATGAATCTGCCCTTTTAGGAACCCTGTAGTTGTATTGCTCTGCAGACTTGAGTTAAAAATATTAACCCTGACTTTCCCAAACCATGGTAGAAAAAGACTACTATGCTTTGAATTCTGATGGTGATCAAGTGAAGAAAGTCTTTGTGGCCAAAACTGATGTAATGACTAACTTGGTTGGGAAACATTTGTAGCAAATCATCGAAACAGAGAATGAATATTAAGAAAGGTAACTGGCTATCAAGGCCTGGTTTAATTCCAGTAAAAAGAGAGGCAAAGAAAAATGTGGCCTAAGGGTCTATAACAGTTAGTGAAAGAATTAATTCTTTCTACGTCAAGATGAACCAGTTTCTAGGGAAAGGAGAATGTCTGAGCTAATACCATTTGCAAGAATTCACAGATACAATGGTATAAAAACGAAAACACTTTTGTTAATTTCTACAGATTGGTACCATGTTTTTTAACTTGCCAATATTCATGCATTTTTTTGCCAATGGTTTCAGAGCCATGTTGGTGCATTTTAGATATGCTCTATCCTTTTTTAAAAAAGAACAATTTGCTCTCAAAATATTCCATAAGAAACAGAACAATCAGACAACCACTTGTGGATATCAAAATGGCATATGCAGTATCTAAATGGAAGTTCTGGTAAGAAATTTAGACAGCAAACAATACTATCAAACCTGATGTTTGAATATGTTATTGCAGATTTTTGCTGGTATGACTGTCCTGAATTCATTGCTGTTATATCACTGCCAGCAGGGAAAAGGGCATAAGTGAATCATATCCCTCATTTCTTCATCAGGCTTACTGATGAGAACTATAACTATTCTTGAAAAAGAAACAGGAGGAAAATGTTATACAGACTCTTCCCAAATTTAAAAAAAAAAAAAAGTTACTGCTTCTTTAAATTCTATCTGCAAACTACAGTTTTGACACATCTATGTATGCCTTTCTATCTAATGGTCAAAATGGAAGCTAAGAACTACATCAGTACCTTTATCAGTACATTTTGAACAGCACAAGGACAAGAAAAATGTCTGATGCACCTCTATTGGGGGGGAGTTGCCCTATGGAAAGTTGCCATATGCTTCTTTGAAGTGTTGGTAGGGCATATGCTAGTATGGACTGGACCATTTCAACCACTCATCTAAAAACCTGACAACAAAGACACTCCTATAGGAGCTTCTGTCAGCTACTGATGGTATTTTCTTCTACCAGGCCCTTAACTGCCCTATTTCCGTGCTGTATTTTTGACAGTAATAACACCGCTTAGCTAGAAAGAGGACGTCCTCCACACAACTTAGCATTCTGCAGTCTTTGGTTTGTTTAGTCAGGGCAGATCTGCACTAGAAAGTTCCATTAAGAGCATTTATCCCAGCTTGCAGCTACTGACAATGACTTTTCCAGAAGTACAAGCAAGACTGGCTGCCTTTGCTACTTAAGTAAAACTCCACTGCAGGAGGCCGTGTCATTACAAAACTTCTGTGTTTCTTACAAAATTCTGGAATTTTTCTGTATCTCCAAATGTTCAAAGACTACAGCAATGGCTGTACAGTAGTAAAATGAGGAAACTCAGAACTGACTAAAGCAGGCTTGGACAAAAAGACATCAGCTAGTGCAGGAAAAGGCACTGTTGGGCAGCTGAACAGTCAAAATAACATCAGTTGGTAGTAATGGATCATGCTACAAATCTTGGCCAGTGGTAATGTCAAAATCTATATTCCAAAGCTGACCATCCCTATGGATGCTAACATGAAAGATGTTTCAATTATTGAGAAATAAATGATGATTGTGCTGTGGGAGTTATTAATTGCTAGAAAGCAATCTGTTTAATACCAGAAAGGTGAGAGAGCTGATATCATTCAGGTATGAAAGGTTATTTTCTTCTGCACAAGTTTATGACTGGACAATATGGAGGAGAGAATAGAGGGATTAAAGGCAATGGATTTCCTGAAATACAGTTGTGGTTCAGATGGAATATACACATTGCATTTCTGTCATCTTCTCCTGGCTTCTTAAGACACCAAAAGAAAGGGATGAATATGTCTATGAGAGCTGGAAGATCACTTACACCGATGTTACTACAGGGAGGTCAGGAGAAGCATAGGACGGTAACTTCTTTAAGAGCAGAGGACTTTGGAAAGCAGCAAGAAGGGATACTTTCCCTTGACTGGTAAATTCACGTTGGTGAATGAGTAGAAATATCAGTGGTAAGTCTTGGGAACCCTCTGCCTAGGTGCTAGGATGGCTGCTGGGAAAAGGGGAAGAACATCTTTGGTTGCTTTGCTTCCTTATCTTCCATAATACTGTGTTTCCCGGAAGCAGAGTAATAGATAGCGCATTTCCTATGGACTCCCCAGTCTTTTAGCTTTTCTCTAAGTCTTCTCTGTTTTGTTTCTTTTCCTTCCTGATCAAAGACAGTTTTTTAGCCAATGTGGGAGATTCCCAGCCAAGGTCACTGATAAACTGGACAAACTGGCATTGTTTGGGGTGAAAAAAAAAAAGTATTAGAGGAGTGGAAAAGATGTAGGAGAAAAGTCCCTAAAATGTTACCAGGAAGATGTGTATAGAGACACAAATCTGCTGTGGGACAAATCTCCTTCAGGAATTTCTTACTTCACAGTGGTCAAGTAGTTCCAAGCAATTTATATATACAAAAGGTATTTTCCAAAGCCTACATTTATGCAAGGTATACTTCAGATTCCCCAGTAACAGGATATTGCTAAACTTACAAACAAGCTGTAGCAATTCTGACTGGAATATTACCCATAAACTTGCTAAATACTCAGGCCTCATTCTTTTTTACTCTGGGGAAAAAGTGTCCTATTCTTGTCAGAGTACAAAGGCAGGGCAGCCTTTCCTCAAAATGAGTGTGCAAGAAAAGTTTTAGTAATGCTGTCTCCAAAAAGCATTAGGATTGTGCTAGCAGACAAAAGGAATGTTTACAAAAAGATCACCTTCCTGCTATGCAAATGGCAGATTTGTGCTGATTTTTCCTAAGAAACATAAAGCTCAGCTTTCAAAGCCAGTCTGCTCTATTCATTGCCAATTTGAGTGATGTGCTTTGGACTTAACTCTTAGACTGGAAAACAAAAGCAGTAGTCATTTATGCTTACATTATGTATTTACAGTTTAACTTCTTCCTTCAGAAGACTGAAGGACCCAGTGCAGCACTGCTTGCAGACAACATTCTCCATTTCCATGTATTTTATGTGAACACTCAAGGACTGGTTGCAATAAATGTCTTTTTCTGTTTGCAGTGTGTTGCTTTAGGCTAGTTATTCTGCCTGCTCTGACAAAATATGAATTCTTTTTTATTTCTTGCATATGTCTATCTTTATTCCTTATCCAAATATGTTTAGAAGAGAAAAAGAAGAGTACTGAAGCGGTGTTTAAGAAAACTGATGCATTGATTTAACAGCCCCAGCTTCTTCGCTGCTTCTTTCTTCAGTAAGCTCCAACTCATGTTAAGACGCCTGCAAAGTTTCATGCTAAGTTTCTGTCATCTAGGATCTCCTACTGAGGAAACTCTTCATCACTGTCTGGTTCTGTGGCTCCTCCATCTGGATGTTTCTCTCTGAATCATGATGAAGTAATCAGATATTTGTTTTGTACAGTGGTCCACTCTGTACTGCAGCAACTCCCAAGTTTTCTGCTGGTTTCTTAGCTGACACAGTAACTTCATTTTACATCAGTATTCAACCATCTCTGATCGCACTTTGTTCATAGTCATACTCTGAGGGAATGAGTGGAGCCTGCACTGCTTCTCTCAAAGTCCTTTTCCCTTGATCAAGCAGGCTGGAATTTTTGGGGCTGCTGATGCCTGTGTTGTGAAACCAAGCTAAGTGAGATGGAGGCATCTTCAAAATAACTGGGGATGATTTCTGGGAAAAAACATTCACAACTGGGGTTTCTTTACAGTATTAGGAAGACTGTGGTAGAGGTCTCTCTGAACCACTGTAGGTAGGGGAGATCTTGCAAAAGGCTTGTACTACTGGAGCAAGGCTAGAAAATAGTCTATATTGTATATGTTAATAATTTGTTAATCCTAAACTCAGATTTTCCTAGTAGGACTCAAGACTGAGTACATTTTAGTGGTAAAACTCTTTAAAGGAGGCCAGACCCTTGTTTTGATGAAACTGTATTTACTAAGATGAGCAAGCAATAGTATGTTGTTCTCAGTGGAAAGTGCTGAGGTAAGAAACTGGCTGAGTGTGCTGACTGATTGACTCTTCATCTATCAGATGGAAAACAAGTTCAGCAATTATTGTCTCAAATTATCTGAGATTCAGGACTAAAGCTAGAGACATACTACTTTTCCCAGTTAAAAAAAAGCAGCACTGAGATGATGGGCTAATAGTTCCAATGTTTGTCCCCCTGACTTAGAGGAGATTGAGAAAATTAAGTTCAAATTCACTTCATTACATTGCACTTCAGTAGAAGAAAAATATAAAAGACAGTAAGTATTATGATGTTTTATCTGTTCTACTTGCATACTGGGTACAGTGAAGCTTGTGCAAAAATGCAGAATCCTTTTACTTTAGTGAGGGATCGCTAAAAGTCTGTTTTCTGATTGAATAAAGCAAGAGGACTTTTTTGAAGGACAAGTAACTAAATGAAGCACAACTTACATCCTGAGAAGTAATTAATGACAAAAAGTAAAGTACCCTTAATGATCATAAACTTTAAGGAAATTTTTAGTAGTTCAGCATTTTTTGTAATTAAAAATTGCAAATGATCATAATTAATTACCAATACCAGTTCTCTTCAGCACATAATACAGTATCAACTTGTTCCCAAATTCCTCAAAATACCAACAGATGATACATTAAAGTTCATAATTCTTTAAATTTGGAACTATTTTGACTTTATTTACAGTGAAAATAACTGCAGTAAAAATGACACAATAAAAAATGCCCTTGTAGACACATCATTATGTGATTATTGTGTGGGTTTTGACTCAGTCACACAAGCCTGAAATTTGGAACTTTGAAAAATAAGACACAAATGCTGGGTTTGTAGCTGGAAGTCATTACTGGATAAAGGCATCACCTCCCTCACAAGTTAATACATATTATTCCCCTTTGCACTAATGTTTCACATCACCCAACAGCAGTGCTATTGTCCCCGCACAGATGGCAAGGATGTTGTAACAATACAAAATGGGTATTTACTCCCTCTGAAGGCTCAAAACCATGAGCAAGAATAAACAGTTCTGTCATGGGAACTCTAATTTAAAAAAAACTTCAGCAAACTTTTTGTAGGCCTACCTGGAGTGTTCCACCAACGGAAAACCTAGGGGCAGGGAAGACATTACTTTACAGACAGAAGATCTCTGGTAACTACAGTCAAGAAGTGTTCCCCATCACTCCCTTTAAAATGTCTGTAAATTATGAAGTGCAACTGAAGCCCTGAACAGTAAAGTCAGTGCCTGTGTTCTGAAGGTAGGAATCTATAAACAGTGACAGGACTAAGAATTAGGCAATATTATTACAGTGGCTATGTTGAAAAAATGTTAATCAGAAAAGACTGAGTTAAGACTAGAGTACTGAATCCAAAGTCAGAGAACAAAACAAAACACAACAAAACCCAAAACTGCAAGTACACACTTAGGAAATTTATCACAAGACCAAATCCTAATAAAATTTCTTATCACTGACTGCTACCTAAAACAGATGGCAATTTTGTTTGGAAGCAAACATTAAGCTGTTTATTAAAGCATATATTTCTCAGTATTTTATTCTAGTTAGGTCTGCCTGCAGTATATATTTATCTGAGGAAGGAGGGCATGCCAGGACCTGGAAAAGCCTCTGCTTTTAATAAACAAAGCTTCATATTTTACTAATAGGTATTTTCAGCTGATGGGAATAACGCAGTTGAGAGCTGTATTAATTCTCACACAGTGGAGGGGAAGCAAAACTGAATCAATGACACCATGGCTGTCAGAGGGCTGTGCAATAAAAATCCTGCAGAACAAATTAAGTTTTCAATTTTAACAGTTGTGTGCATCTACATATAGTAATATCTCATCAGTATCATTGCCTTTAGCAAGTTTGTCCAAATTTATCTAATTTCAATTTAGCAAGAAAATCTAACAATGGAAAGGAATATATTAGTGCTTATTTGGTCTTAGCTATGTTGGTTATTTAAGACCAAGAAGTATAAAATGCAAATTACTATTCTAATGCTCACGAAATGCTTAATGTGTCTCCATGGTAATATGTCTGCTGAGTAAGGATATGTTCTTTTTATTAACTTACTAGAGACAGGGGAAAAAGAAAAAAAAAGCTCTCATCATGTTGCAAAGTGCTTTTCTTCGTCATGATCATTATCATCATAATCATCATCAAGGAATTCTTATTAACAACAACCCCCCCTTATTTAAAAAGTAACACACCTGAATGAAACTGAACTCCCTCCAGTTTAAGGCAGTGTTTACTGAAGGGATGGAAGTTACTGCCAGCAAAGAAAGCAATCCAAGACTCATTATTCCAAAAGAGATATACATTTCAATTCGCCACACTTCTTCCTCATTCCAAGAATTTTCAACATTTGCATGAACCTGATGAAAGAGCAGAAAGGAAGCACTTTATTCTACAGAATATCAAAAATATCAACAGAAGTTATTTTGCTGAGTAAAAGTCTACAGTCACAGGACAACTATAAAATGGGGTCAAATATTTCAGAGGTTTCCTCATGTCTTGGAGAAAAACAACTATTTCCTTACTGCTGGTATTGGCTCTTGTTAGATTAAAATATGTTAAACATGGAAACTTAGAGGAGTTGTTAAAAGAAAATGTAACATTATATACTATTTATAACAATTATGTTACAAAACCAGATAATTCTGAGTGTTCCTATATACTGTAGAAAAGTAGCTGTGTTCTTCAGACCCTTGAAAGTTAAATTCTATAACATAAATTGGGTAAAATTGTAATTTGCTTTAAGTTTGTTACATTTAGAAATAGTTCAGCATTATTTCCTGGTTTTGCTTCAGCTCCCTATGCTGAGTCCAAGTTATTTTGCCTCTTTCACTGTTGGTATCTGATACATTCAGGATTGTTCTCGTTGGAGAGCTTTACCACAAAAAAGAAACAACTCAGGTCCTCAACAATTAAGAGGCCTGGATATTTAATTATTTTTCCACTTTCAGGTGAACTGTTGTGATATGGCATGTCTTGAAAGTGGTTCACTAGGGATATTAGCAAGTTAGAGTTTTTACAATATTACTAAAACAAAGATAATTTCTTAGTCCTTTACTAAGTGTGAACAATTACAGTTTCTTGCTGCCTTTTATAGTTTTGCTCTTCCTGCCCTTCTCTGAAGTTCAATTTTTCATGCTAGCCCTTTTAGAATTTGTGGACTAAATCCCCGTTAATTTGTTCCATTTGATTTGATTTCCTTAGTTTGCTTTTCTTTCTGTTCCATCACATCTTTCATGCAGATTTTATATGCTTAACGGCAATGCTGCTTTCCTGCCACTTTAAAGGTGACAATAAGCTGCCTCACTGACAGAGGCATCAGACCCTCTTCTAAAGGATGACAGATTTTTCGGAGATTGTTTCAGGGTTATGCAAGACCAACTGCTTCTGGGAAGTATGAGTCAATTTCTATTGCCTGTAATAGATGATGTTCACAGAATTTTTAATGAATAAAATCTTTTCAGCACTGGTCCAAAATGTTACAAAGTAACAGCATTTTCATTTTGTAAACATAGATAACTCTGTAAGCATTATTACCGTATCTACCCTTATACTTTTTTTTTCACTTGTAAATGCACTTATGATAAACCTCCCCCATATATTAAGTATACGTAGAGAGAAACATATCTCAGAAACTCAGAAGTTTCCTGCTGTTGCTCTTATCCTGTCTATCCTACTTTCTCCTTGTGTATATTACTGTCAGGGATTTAAGGAGGACACATCCTGGATTCCCCCTACCACACAAACTTGACTGCAGCTTGACCCATGACGTGAGCACAATGCCCAGATGTTTCTTTTAGTCTCCCTTCCTACTCAGCACTAGCTATACATAAGATAACCCAGAACATTCTCCACTGAAAACAGTGGAACAGATTAAGAAAATGTATATATTTTATTCATGAGCCATATGCATACAGCCAGGGCATTTTTGGTTTACTGAACTAAAGATTGCCTTACCTGTTGATATGCCATATTGAGGAACAAGTATCGCTCCGATCTCCTCATGGGTAAGCAGAGGCTGTATGCCACATGCACTGTTGCAAAGAAAAAACTGAGCAGTCCAAGCTGCTTTCGACACTGGAGCCAGTTGTCCAGCCAAGGTGGAAATCGCCTATACTTGGTACCATAGTAAAGCTGATAAGCAGCTGCAATAAGTCCTGACAAATACACTAGAGAAAGCAAAGTGATAGCGACAATTGGTAGAGTCTTGTTCACGATCTCAATGGGGATCTTGTAAAAGTCACTCTGCTGATTTCTCACATATGGATGGATTACATCTCTGATGAAAGAATAGATGAAGAAAAACGTTGCCAGGCTAATGGCAATCACTACAGGCCCCTTCCACAGTGTGAACAGTCGCAGAGGTAAGTTTTCAATCTCCCTTGAAGATGACAATGCCCCCAAATCAATAGGAATAAAACTGAGCTGACGGGCAAGCTCAATAACTTGATGGCGAGCCTGAACATTGTTACTGCATATATAGACCTGTTGGGAAAGTCAAGTGAATTGCTTGTAGTCAGAGAAAGAGACTCAAAGGTTAAAAAAACCAAACAACCCACCACAAAAAACCCTTAAGGGTCTCCAGGACAAAATCACAGCACTATTGCTAAAACTGTACACTGTTATCCCAGCGTGTATCAACAAAATGAGAATGAAACCATATACAAATCCACAAAGTAAAAATATCCACACTGATTTAGCAACAGAGTAACCAAAACAAAATTGACTTTTTCTTGGAGTTAATATGATGCCCTAGTAATCTGCACACTGAAACCCCCCCCACTGAAATGTCTACAGGACTGAATTGAACTTGAAACAATGGCTAAAGTAATTTCAGAAAATCACAGGTCTCTCAAAAATACAGGAATCTTGAATAATGACCCTAAACCAGCTGTAGCATAAAGAAAATGCAAAGCAGAGAACTGTGCAATCTCTCCATGTATAACAATTTTATCTTAATTTCCCAATCCAGATTTCCACAAAAATTGAATGTTTAACAGAAAAGACAAATCTAGCAGCCAAACAAGAACTCCTTCTGAAGACCAGTTTATTACATAGTGAAAGAAATACACTGCTACAAAGTACTTTAATGTTCCATTAAAATTTACAGTGGGCTACAGTTTGCCCAACATTGCTGATCATCTGCATTAGAGCAAACATGATCCGTTTTGACAGAACTTAATTACATATAGTGCAGTGCTATTCTAAAAAGGGATAAAAATAGTATGGTGAGGTTATTTTTAAAATTGTGCTAATTCTGTATCAATCGCATTTCATTTAAAATCTACCTGAAGTGCTGCCAGAAAACTCATTTTAGTCTCCAGCAGTCACATTACACCAGTCATTTCTCATGCGTTTCTCTGAGTCCATAAAGCTGTGAAGGACTGGGTTCTTGCATAGGCTTAAATCCTTTGTATCAGTTCAGCAAAGCATGAAAAACATAAAGCTGCCTCTTCTATAAGCAGGATGGATTTGGGGAACGTATTGGGAAAAAATTTGAACATGATGTTGCCAAGCAGTCCTGGATCAAATGAACGATCCCTTAAAAACATATGTGCTTCCTACTGTTTCCTCAGATTTATGATCTTGGGGCATTCTAAAAGCTAGATAATTTCTTTCATTCACTTTGCTGTTATGTTGAATGCAAGCACTTTTAGAACAGCTGAGTCCTGAGCCCTGGGATCAGGACTTCAGATTTCTGTGCATCTTTTTCAATAGTTCACCACATGTAAACCAATACCAAAACTCAAATACACTGGGAAAGACTGCCTCTATCCTTGTATAGAACATAAGGATAAAAATTAACATATTTCCTACAAAAGACATTAAGACCCAACTCCTCTCCTCTGTCTGTAGTCATCTAAAGGTCAGCTGTCAAAGCTGTCAGCTATCAGCTGATACTAGTTGAAGCCAGAATCCACATTTTCTCTGCAATCTTAAAGATAAACAGGTATCCCAGGGGATGATTTGGACCACTTACTCTGTATGTCTTACAGTGGATGAACTAGACTCTGAATGTTTTATTGGCTGCTGAAGGCCCAACATTTTAGATACGTTAAGTAAGGCAGAATGAATCCCATGAGTTCTGGCTGCTTGCATTCAGTTCCTGTCATTTTCATCTCACAAACAAGTTAAATTAATACAAATATAACATTTACCTGTCTGCTGGCATCCTTTGGTCCTAACTGCAGTGACCACGCTGAAACGACATTGAATCCTTTGACAATCAGGGAATCTGGGAAAAGTGATGCCAAATACTCTGCATTGGAGTCCGGATATTGGTCTACTCTTGTATTATTGCTAACATCAATCAGAATTTTACCAGCGAGTAAATGCTTGAGGTCCCACAAAGAGGCATAATGTTCTCTGTGTATGGCTACAAAAATGATGTTTGTTTTTGCTACTGCATCTTCATGGTGAGTGACATCAACCACATGGGGAAAGACCTCAGCAGCAAGTTTAGGGTTTCTGCTTCCTACAACCACGTGGTACCCACATCTGATAAGCCTAATTGTCAATGACTTAGCAAAGTCTCCACTTCCAATGATGCCTATTGTGATCTTACTGGCATCCTTGATGCCATTGGCAACATTTGGTAGAAAAGTTTCATTGAGGTTCTTAGGACTTCCCATCATAGAGATTGATTCCATACTTCCAAGACACCAAACCTATAATGATTTCTTCTGGGAAAAAAAGAAAAAAGAGAAAGCAACAGAAGGGAAAATGCAGCATCATACCATTTCTCAAGACATCATAATCCACAAACATCTCTGGGAGCAAAATAGTGGTTCTAAGTTTTATGTTATATTTTCTCCTTAATAAAGTATGTGCTAATCCATTTTGTCTTGCCATGTGTCACTAATACAAGGAGAAACATAAAATAATTCAAACTCTTTAATAATACAATTACAGAAGTAAATGATATTTTTCCCATCTTCTCCTGTTCCCTATCTTCCACTGCCTGGAATATCGGACCAGAAGATAACGTTGTACTCCTGAAACTAATGGTCAATAGAATAATGAGAAGAAATGTAAGAAAAACTGGGTAATTATGGAAAATTAGAATGCAGAGATAGCTGGCCCGTGGCTGGAATAAGAACAGTGAGTTCATGGAAGCTGAATTCCATTAAAAGCTTATGCAGGTTATTATTGTCCTGCATTAGTCCCATATTGTCAGACTGCTAGGTCTGGCCATGGATGTATAAGGATTAACTGTGGGTACAAGGGTAAAGGATGCAAGGCCACGGGGCACAAATATGCCTAACAGATTTTTTTCTCACCAGGCAGAGAAGATAACTCCTGGAGACAAACGTGTGACAGCATTCCACAAAAAGCAAATGGCAGGAAGACATAGATTTCATGCAATAATAAAAGGGAAGAGAGTTTTAGGACTCAAATTCAGTGTCGTAAGGGAGGCTTTGAAGAAGAAGAAAATTAAAAGAAATACTGCTATAGCTTTGGAGAGAAGAGGTCACAGAACTGCAGTAAAGCTCTAACAAAGACAAAAAGACATAACAAAAGAACAAAACAACCCCCATGAGGGAAGTCTTCACATGCAACCACAATTATGACATAAGTGGTTCTGCACTGGAGAACTGGAATGAGTTCTGAAAATGAAGGAAGCAATGAGGAAAGGCAGGCTAAGAAGGAGCAAAAAGAAACCACTGCTGTCTTGGGAGAATCAACAACAGATCCCATAGAAAGGAGGAGCTGAATGAACCTCATCTGAGCCACCATCCAAGAGCTGGTATGATGGTAACTAATCACAAGTGGGGACTTCACCCAGCCATCGGCTAGGAATATAGTAGGTGTGGTGAACAACCTCCCACAATTAAAAGTAGCTTTGTTTCAGAAATAGGAGGAAGCTACTAGAAGAATGGGCACTTTTCATTTCGACTTTGACTAGAAGGGAAGAACTCACTGAAACTGGAGTGAGACTCTAAAGACAGAAAGCAATATGTCAAAGTGACTGCAAAATCAGTATTCTAAGAAAAGATTCTAACAGTGAATCTTTCTGGCAGAGGCAGATCATTTAGATTTTTATGCATGCACTGTAAAAACATTGACTTCTTTCTTACCACATGACCTGAAATGTATCTAACACATGACCAAAATACCTGTATTTCCTGTACCATGATGGGTTCTCATCCAGGAACATGATGAGAATAGCTCTATTTTGATCAGATAAGAGATATACACCAACTGGATATGACAGAACACGTATGCATCCACCATGTGATTACAGAGGCCCATCTCAGTTCATGCTATGTGACATGAAAGTGTTCCAAACTTTGGGATAGAAAAGGAACCACCATGAGGAAATGAGCTACCAATACCATTTAACCATACTGCAGCCTACTTCCAGTTTTTTTCTAAAGGTTCCTTAGGAGAGTGGGTATCAAGGATTTGGACACACTGAATTTCTCTGTTGAGCTGACTTTGGCCCACTGGTCAAAGTTTCTCACTGCCTGTCCTAAGGAACGTAGAGTGTAAGGAACAGAATAAAACTAACAGGCTTCATAAAAAAAGCCTCAGGGAACAGGCAGACATGACTCTTGGGTAAATAATCTAAGAGGTGGAAGAGATCAGAGAGCTGTCAGTTACTGAAAGGGACTATATTAAATGCACAACAGCAATTCAGAGGAAAGAGAGTGTATATGACTGTTTTAACTGGAGAGCTTTAATGACCTGAAAAATCACACAAAAAGTAGAAAAAAAAAGGGGGTTGTGCATGGCTAAGTAACAGTACGAAGAGACAGTGCTATCATGTAGGGATAAAATCAGAACAGCAATGGTAGAGAAATTATTTAGTAGTGAAGGACATAAAGGGTAACAAGTAAAGGTTCCATAAATACAATAAAAGACAGGACGTAAGATTTATAACTTAAGAGGAAAAAGAATAAATTATAGGTGACATAAATTAGGACAAAGTGCTAAATGTCTTCTTTATTTCGGCCCTCAGCAGAAAGGTTAATTGTGAATAGATATTTAATGAAATTCCTTTTAGAGAGAGATAGAAGGTAAGGTCAAAGTGGAAAAAGGTAAGTTAAGAGTAAAGGATGAAGTTACGATAAAGATTTTCAAGTCAGCAGACACTTAGGAAATCCACCCTTGATGCTTAAAATGCTGATTGAAGTGACATCTTGAGAACTCAAGAGAGGACAAGTGGGGCAGACTAGCACATACCTCTAAAAGAGGGGAGGAGGAAGACTGAGGAAAACAAAGACTTGTTAGCCTAACTTCAGCCTCTGGGCAGATTTTACATCAAGTTATTGAGCAATCAATTTGTAAATAGATGGGAAGCAGATGATAAGAAGTAGATAAGGCGGGTTGTTCAGGAACAGACTGCAACTAAACCAACCTTCTTTTACAAAATATCTGGCTTCACTGACATAAAAAATAGTAGGAGCGATATAAATTTGACATTTGCCCTCAGATAAGCTAAGAAAACACTACAGAGCTATGTCAGCCAGAAGGTGACACAGATGTGAAAAACTGCTCTTGGAAAAATAACTACTGGAGGAGAAACACGAACAAACAGAAAGCCCAGAAAGCCGGGCAGTCACTGAATTTGTGACCACTCACTCGGGTGGGAACTTACGGGGTGAGGGCCGAGGCGAGGGGCTGGCCAGACGCCGGGTGCAGGCCGGTGCCCCCTCGGCAGGCTAGCGGGCGGCAGCGCGATGCGGGTATCTACCCCAGCAGAGCTCGGCGGGGCCCTGGTCCT